CAAACTAGCAAGTTTTTTTTAACAGCAACAGTCAAATATAGGATGACCTTGTCCTACCTGTCCACGACTCTAGATTGTACGTAATATGCAAGCTTTGCCCACCACAGAGGTTATACCCCCAAAGGGGTCTTCAGGGACTGGGTTCCATAGCAATGGTCCACAGCCCTGGAACTGTATAGCACCCTGTGGTTGCTCAACGCATTGCGACAAGTGCCAAGGTTAATGCCCATGCAGAATCCCATGCCAGAAACAACAAACACAGTGTGAAGTCTGGGTACAGATCCCAAGATTTTATTGAGGTTGCACCTATCTGAATACACTGTTCTGTGTAGACATTAGAGTTCCAAAGTAATAAATTAAAATTAAAAAAAAAAAACAAAAAACACAAAAACAAAACATTGAAGCAGATTTCTCGGCAAAAGAAGAGGTCACCTCACCTTCAAACACTTGCAAAAACTGAACTCAGAGTGGGGTAGGATTATGAGGCGGTGCCCCAGTGTCCAATCACCTGAAGGGACACACCTATAACTAATGATGCATGAATATGTTGCCTGTGTCTTGTACTGTGATCAAGATAAAATCTTAATAAAATTTTCTACAGGCTGTGATGGTTTCATCCTAGTTAGTTTAGGGATAGAGCATCTGCTGGGACCAGAGTCCTAGTGCCAATGTACACCTGTCCTGTCCCCTATGATCAGCTCAGCGGCTGGGACAAGACCAACTTCATACTGCACATATTTTTTGTAAAGGTGAACTAACCCTTCGAGCTCTTTCAGTACTGCACATATAAGCTCACCTGCACTGCTTACAGCACTCTGGTCTACAGGCTGTCATGTATTTTCTTGCTAATGTTAGGTTTTCTTTTTAAATCCACGACCAGTTTATTTTTTTTGAAGATTTGTTATTTAGAACCAATTTTAAAAGTGTGTTTTCATTATATTTTCCTATGGCTCCATTCACATGAGGGCGTGTAAAAACTCACATTTGTGTGTTCAGGTGCCATTCATTTCAAGGTTTCGGTGTTTTTTGCTGTGATCGCGGTGCGGTTTTCTATGCGACAAACAAAATCGCAGGATGTGCAACAGCCAAACATGGTTCTGGATGAGTTTGTCAAGCCGAGATCGCAGCGAAAACACCTTGCATTTTCAGGTGCAATTGAAATGAATGGCACCCATGCACATTTTCACATTGTGTTTTCAAATTGCAGTTTTTCCGAATGGAGCCTAACAGGTGAACTTATTACTCTTTAAATATATTAACATTCCAATGTTATTTTCTGCATTAGTTTCATTTATATTCCGCCTACTTGTCCATGTACAGTGTATGCTACTTTCAAAATGTCTCTGGTGACACGTTGCAGTTGCCAGTATGTCAGTTCTCAACTGAACTTTCAAGACCTAAATGGCTGGTATCCCGCTGATGTGTGCAGCACCACGGCAACCCAATATCTAAAATAGAGGCTAAGATGGTGCCATAGTCATTCGCAAAAGGAGGGTTTAGCTCTGCTTTAATACACCTAGCGAGCATAGAGAGAGACACACACACACACACCCCCCCCCCCCCCAAGTTGCTTGTTATGGGAGCATTCATGCAGGCTCACGCCCCAGCCAGCTCTGTGGGTCCATAGACACAAAGTGCGCAGCTCTTCCCCTGGGAAGGGGGGTAAGGCAGGGTCTGCATACTGAAGTTTTTTTAAAGGTTAAAAAAACCATTAAGCTGAGAATGCATTAAGGTAACAGAACCTTAATAACCAATTCACACATGTGTGGTGCAAATTGAAGCTCAAGTTTCACAGTTAATTGATAGGGGGGAATTCAGGGAACGGCATTAGGTGAGGAAGATTTGGTCTTTCCCTAACTCAAGGTCTTGATGTATTTTCAATTGTGAAACTTAAAAAAACACATCTAAGGTGAAGAACTACCTAGAAGGCTTAACCTCCTCTGCAGCATTGTTTCTATGCCTGGACAGTAGGAAACGATCTTCATTGAGAGATGGGGGATTAGTTTCCTGTATGGGAATGAACATGTTGCGGTCCTAAAAAATAATTTGGAAACTTTTTTTGGTTTACCAGGCTGTGAATAGCTAAACATAAAAAAACACCACATAGCCAGTTTGGGCAGAGGATGAGGATTGGGACCCTGGCACGGTTTGAGCAGCTGACCTCCCTTCTCTCCTCCTTTTCTTGGCATTCCTTTCTACTTTTGTGCATTTCCCTAACATAATATTTGGGTATTTCCATGCATATTTGTGCTGTTAATGCCTGGATTGCTTGTCAACATTGTATCCCCTGATCCATAAACTTATAATACATGCGTTTTTGGAGGCTTCAATCCTCTGCCCTTCTCACATGAAACCAACTGTTGGATCACTTCTCATGGTCTCCTTACTTTGCATAAGCACGGTCAATAACCCATTTTTTTCATGCTTGTCCTGCTCTGTTATGTATATTTTGTATTTCTATCAATCAAAATATTAAAGAAAAAAAAAAAAAGATGCAATCTAGGCCTTGTGTCAAGCAAATGTAGCATGCTTTAGACATCCATTTCTGACAATTCTGAAATCAATTAGCGTTACTGCTCATACATTTGGTTTGCTTTGAGCTATTTTCTCAGTTTTATTAAAATCCCAGCTGTTCCCAACCAATGAACACAAAATGGTACAAAGCTGAGTGGTACAAAGTTTTAAAAAAAGTTATCCAAAAAAAAAAAAATAAATAAATGTAAAATTTTAGTTATACAAATGGGTTAACCATTTATAGCATTTCTGCAGCAGAAGTGAGTTGATGCAAATTTTGTTGATCACTTCCAAACCACCTGTCTGTAAAAAAGCAGCATTGGAATGAACTGTGCTACTATGTTGATGGGCTAAAATTGCAGTGAATGAAAAAGTATAAGTTACTAATATCAATAAAATGCAATTAAAAAAGGAAAATAGACCACTATAATCCTAAAGAAGCACAAGTCTTTTCTTTACTGGAAAGACAGACAAGGGGTCAAAAGGAGCCAAAGTGGATAAAAATCAATGATTTAAAAAAAAAAAAAAAAAAAAAGATTTGATTTAAAAATCAGACTTTTTTAAATAAAATGCTTTTTGAGGAAAATATATTACCATCCAAAGGTTATTCCATCATGAAATAAAGATTCCTTTTTTAATTATGTACAATAAGGCTGTAATGATGTTTAATTTTTTTGGTAAATAAAAATTCCATGAATCCATTCACAATGTCATGCTCTTCCAGAGGTTTTTGTAAGATTATTGGGCAGTTTCTCTGCCTACAAGATATCACAGATGCTTGGTTTACTTTTGCAGTTCTCAAAACTGAATTTGACTCAGCGGAGATCACATGCCTCTTCTTCACAGCAAAAATGTTATAACATGAACAGAGTTAAGAAAAAGACCTTAATCCTAACGTCTACAAACCTATGAATACAGAATCAACCCCTTCAGTGCTAAGTTTCAAGAAGTTCAGTGAATAGAATAGAAACAATATTTTTCTGATTGTTTGGAGTGGAATAGATCTGCACAAGAAGAAAGTGAAACTAAGTGTGAGGAGGAAGGGGCTGACAGTCTAAGTTTCTTAAAATATATATATTTTTGTTTAGCCAAATTAGTTAACAAACATGGATGTTTGTTTAAGCAAATAACATATGCTGGAATGTTATTGTTTCAGTTGAATAAAAATCTATTTAATCTGTTATTAAGGTAATGATTATTTTTCTCCTTCCTAAGTACAACAGAAAAGTTGTCCAAATATGAATGATTAACCTATTAAACTGCGGATAAAAAAACTAATATGAAAAGTTGTTATTCTAAAAAGCTTCATCTACTTGCATATTAAAGTTATACCAGCAAGAATTAGTCTTTATGTAGAAAACTAGGATTTAAATCAAGCCTTACTGAATAGTGATTTAAATCTGTTTGATTTAAATCAAATCCACCCTGAAAGGAGCACAACTTTCTACACCATCAGGAGGCACTAAACTGAAAGAACAGGTCTGGCAGAAGCAAAGCCACAACTGAAAAGGAAGACTAGTTTCTGGGAGTCACTCAAGACCATCGTGAAGCTTAAACTAAAATGCAAAACTTTTGTTCTTTGGACAGAGCGGAGGGTATTAAAACCCGTCAGGTATTATTCGTGTGTCCGAGTTAGGGAGATTCCCACCTCTTCAATTTGTCTTGTTTTACCATTGTCATTAAAAGTGAAAGTAAAAGAAAAACCCAAATTGGGTTGCCCTGGGAAAAGAAATAGGAGGGAACATCTTCCAATGAGGACACTAGTTCTGGTGACCTGGGTGTCCCCAGAGATTCTCTTAATTTGCAGGTATTTCCTCTCACATTCTGTTTTGACTATGTGATAGGAAGTCCAGATAAATCCAAACCTTACTCTATCCAAAATGGAAAAAAAAAAAAAAAAAAATAGCCTATTAGTTCTACTTTAATGAAACTTTATTCTTCTGTTTCCAAGGCAAAGGAATTGTAAGTGGCTCTTGTGCTGGAAACAGAATCATTGACTGACAACCAACAAAAAAGCCTTTCCATAACATTTTGCACCACCATGTTATACTCCCTGGCCTACACCTAGTTGGCAAGTTTATCCTACAGAAAAAGAATGAACCAAAGATGAAGCCAATTTACTGAAGAATGGAGCAGCTGCACATGGCAACAAATCAGCATCCAGATTACATTTTTAAAGCCTAACTTAACATGCTAAAATTAGAAGCCAATTGGTTACTAGGCACAGCTGCTACAGATTTGGTTTGCTCCGTTTTAGTAAGTTTTTAAGTGTGGGGAAGGACACAAAAATTGATTGCGTATTCTGGCTATTTTTTTGGCTTTCCATGAATATAAAATTAACCTCACAAACACAGCAAAAGCTCAACATTTCATTTAGGCCCACATAAAATTAGAAATAAATTGGAGGTATTGCCAGTTCTTTCAGGGATAACACAGCCACAATAGACAAAAGGAAACACAGGAAGGTTGAAAGAAAGCACACATACTTCATCAGAAGCTGAAAGTAGGCACTGAACTGCAGCCTGTTTCTTCATTTCTTCCATGGAGAGATCTGAACTCTTTTTCTTGCCTTTTCCCCACTTCTTGCAAGCTCCCTTTTCCCAGCCCAAAAAGATGTCATTTTCCTGTAAAACAAAGACACAATGTATATAGGCTTGCATACAGTATTTATCACCATGTCATTCTCCGTGAATATACTTTGACCGAAAAAGCAATTGGTAGGGGGAATCCACATATGATTACTGTGCCCTGACAAATATATGTATGGGCGACACCACAAACAAAATTGCTACTATATAGAAAATAGACTGGAGAAAGACACCAGCTTGAATCTACTGTGCCATTAATTATAAAAAGTGAAAAAAGTAGGTGTCCTCACACTCTCACTGTAGCATCCTCTGACCCCATTAGCAGTTCTCAGTCCCCCTTCACCCCCCCCCAATAGTGTCCTCTTTCCCCCTCCCACCACAGTAGTGTCCTTCACAGCACCCTATCTCACTACCACTGTAGTGTCCTTGCCCACCTTCACATCACTCCCCCACACTATAGTGCTCTCTGCCCAACACATTAGTATCCTGTCCCCCCAAGCGAGGTGTCCTTTGCCCTCTTCACATCAGCTCACCACCACCCCTACTATCCTGTCCCCCTCCTCCAACAGTGTCCTAGGGTCCTGTACCCCCTTTCACATCATCCCCCCACTATAGTGCCTTCTGCCCCCATAGTAGTTTCCTGTTGCCCACAGTGTTGTGTCCTCTGCCCCCTTCACATCACCCTGCCCCCCGGTTATGAATCACCTGTTTGGCTCCCTGCAACCCACGGCTTTTCCGACCCCCGGTGTATACAATTGCAACGCAGGTCATACTGTTACAATTGAATGTTATTGAAAATGACCTAAGTCTGCAGTGCTGTCACTTTTTTGCAATGTAATATGGCAACCCTCAGGCCTTCTGTACAAAATGTAATTTCCTATTTGTGTGATTGGCTCCCTGATTTTTCCAAAAGTCTACACTAAGATACAAGTCAGATTTTTTGAATCCCTTACAACAAAAATACCTTTTTTGGTGAGATACTCCCAAAAGGGAAAAAAAAAAAAAAATCTAAAAAGGAATGCAGACCCTGCAGATTTCCTCATTGGAGCCCTGCAGGTGCAGCAGCTGATAAATTTATAAAATCACTCCCATACAGACTGACTAAGCACATGAACACAAACATCAATTTCTTCAGATTAACAAAGTTAGGACTCTGCAAAAGTTTTTTTTAAAATCCTTGCAATGTACATAGATCACCCAGAAGTGAATGCTTTCCTCTCAAGAAAAGTGGAGTTGTGCTTTAAATTATATGAATGTTAGACCAGTCATGGTATTAAGACTATTGATTTGCTGCATATCCAATGAAATGCCTGTATGTATAACATCCATGAGATACTTTCATGTGTGCAGCTTCAGAAACATCCCTGAAAGATCCCTTGAAAACTATGGTCCCACTTGAATGCAAAGAAAAAAAAAAAACGTGTCATACAACCTTTTCATATCAAGGTGAAAACCGGTAAGTCTAACTGTGGTTTTCCCCCAGTTGTCTTCCAGGGCAGCCCCCGAGGGGATAAACAAGAGTTTACCCATATATGGGGTGAGGGAAGACAACAGCTTGGAAGACTTTCCTCCCAAATACGTGATCCTGACTTGCTAGAGCGACCAGGCAATAATGCCAAACAAAAGTGGAGAAACTTAAAGTAGTGGCTCTACAAATGTACTCTGCGATGTCCACCAGCTATTTCTGCCCAGGAATGGACAGCGCTGTGCATCCTTGTGATGGTTGCCTTGAGCCACCTTGCAATAGTGCTTCTGAAGAATTTTTCCTTTCTTCCTGAGGAGAGAATAAACAGATTCTGACAATTTAAAAAAAGGACTTTGTGGCCTCAAAATACAATTAGACAATTTGACGTTCAGCCGATGGAGCTCCTCGTTATTGGCTGGCTTAGTGCAAAAGAACGGAAGCACTGTCCTACGGCTGAAGACACTTTTGGGATGAAAGCTGGGTTTGTCCGAAGAAGTCACCTGTCATTTAAAACTTGTAGACAAGGTTTTCATACAGAAAGGGCCTGAATAGGGCAATAGCCACCAGAAAAAGTTTATAATGTGATAAGCTTCAAAAAGGCCTCAGGTTCAAAAGGAGGCCTGATCATTGCCATTTAGAAGATCTTCTTGGAGTGTCCTCTGAAGATACACCCTGAACGCTTCTATTTGTACTTTTATGGTACTTACGGCTAAAGCCTTTATCAACGCCATCCTATAAAAATTCCAAGATTGTTGCAGAGTCCTTGCTGGACATGCTATGGTCCGAGATCCAAAGATTGAATTTCTTCCAAACCTTTAAATATATAGTCCTTGTGACCAGTTTCCGACTCAAGATATTCACCACCTGCTCAGAAAGTCCCTTTGCTCTTAGGATTTTCTCTTCAGAAACCAAGCTGCTAGATTCAGCATAGGTATATTGGGATAGTACCAGACATTGGAAAAGAAGGTCCTGCCTACAAGAGAAAAAAAAAAACCCCACAAATCCACCAGGGAGGGAAAAAAACCATGCCCACCTGGGCCAATTGGGTGCAATAAGGATTTCATGAATTTCGATAGTACCCTCAGAATCAATTGCAGAGGTGGCAAGGCGTAGCAAAGAATGAGTGACCACAGGTTTCACATAGCATCTACCGCTAAAAGCTGATCTCCAGAATCCAGGGAGAAGGTGGTCTGTAATGTTGCATTTTCCTCCGGGTGAAGAGACCAATCTTCCTGCGATTCCTGTTGTCAGCTTAGTCGGTCAAGCTGTTCTACTTCCCTTTTAAAATGTACAGTTGAGATTGAAATCAGGTTTTGTTTCTGCACAGATAAAGATGTGTGCTATTTGCATTAGACTCTGGCTCTTGGTGCCCTCCTGCTTGTTCAAAGTAGGCCACCGTCGTGGTGTTGTCTGATGTACTTCTTGAAGGTGACCTTTGAGCTGCTCCGGGAATGACCGTAGACCTCTGGCCACCACCATCCAATTGGACAGTTTTGTTCTCCTGCTGGGTCCACACCCCTTGTGCCCACTGACCATCCAGCCGGGCCCCCCACAAGCTGTCGTTAGGATTGTGGAGATGGTAACCATTGGAGACCCCCTTGGAAATTGTTCTGATCTCTCCACCACGAAAGTGAGCATTTCAGACTCCTTGGTAGGATCACTTTCTCCAGTAAATTTTTCCCCTTGAAATTTCGTAACAAGGCCGCCTGAAGTGGTCCTTGGTGACCTCTGGCCCACTGTATCGCTGATATTAAAGAGGTCATGAGATCCAATACGGACAAAATCTCATAGATACAGGATGATTGTCCTGGATCTGGACCACCCTCTGGTTAATAATGGAAACGGTTTCTTCTGGCAGAAAAAAAAAAAAAAAAAAAAAAGTCTTCTGCTCTTTAGAGCGGAACCGAATATCATGATGGAAACTGGTTTGACTTGTCTGTGTTGACAATCCACCCCAGCTTTAAAAGCCAGTTCTGGGATTTGCAAAGATCTTCTTGAAGCTTCTCTTTTGATGCTGCCAAGGAAAGATCGTCCAGATATGGCATTACAATTATGGATTGAAGTCTTCAATCCAAGGCCTCCACTAGGACCTTGGTAAAATATCCTTGGAGCTGAATTCAGGCCAATCCATAAGGCTCTGCTCTGGAAATGATAAATTGTTCCACCTATCTCCACTGCTAACCGGAGAAACCTCTGAGAATCTTTCCTGATGGGCATATGTAAATACGCATCCCTCAGATCCATTGTGGCCAAACAGAAATCCTTTGTAGTAAATTCCTGACCGAATAAATTAATTCAATTTAGAACATAACTGTGTTCAGGGGATGAAGATTCAGTATTAAACAAGGTTCCCCCGAAGGCTTCCTTACGACAAAACACGAGTAAAAACCTACTCCTTGTTCCTCCCTTCGAACAGGAACCAGGAGCTTTTGATCTACCAATTTTATGAGGACTAGTGGGCAGGGACTGTGCTTTTGCCTGGACTCTTGGTAATCTTTTCTCAAGCAATCTTGAGGGGGGTTTCTCTTCAAACTCCACAGTATAGCCTCTTTCTATAGTACCTAAAACAAAATTTGTTGGATGTTACTTGAAGCCACTGTAGAAAGAAACCCTGCTGCTGTCCTCCTAGCATCATTGCGGCTTATTATTCTGGGACGGTTAAATAGAATGTGTCCCTTTGGCCTCCCCTTGTGCCCGTTCCAGTGCTTCTTAAGTTTAACTTTTGTTCTCTTCTCTTGCTTGATCCCTTAATGGGCGAAGAAAAACTTCTTTGGAAAACGTTTTTTTTTTGCCTGGAAAAGTCTTCTTCCTGTCTGAGGTCCGCTCAAGCTTAGCATTGGGCTTGGGCCCAAACAAGAGATTGCCTGAAAATGGAATACTACACAAATCGTAATTTAGAAGCAGTGTCCCTCATCCACATCTTGAGCCAGACTGCTCTTCTAGTGGTTACCAACAAGGCTGCTGTCTTTGCAAAGAGCTGCAATAAAGCCGATCGCTTTGAAGAGGGTAGGGAAAGACTTTAGTAACTCTTACCTGAGGGTGCATACTAGCAGGTGCTCCTGTAGGTGTTAAAGGCAATATTTAAAATTCCTAGCTGCAGAGGTTGTAGCTAATGCTGGTTTTACGTTTGCCATGCAGACATCCCAGGATCTCTTTATGATCATGCCGCCCCTCCTGTCCATTGGGTCACTAAACTCTCCCATATCTTCAAATGCCAAATCTGTGTGTTGTGAGACCTTAGATAGTGGTGCATCCAACTATGGACATTTGTTCCACACGGAATCAGGGTTGTCACCAAAAGGAATCTCCTCTTTAAACTTCCTGGAAAAAAGGTCCTCTTTTCCGGTTCTGCCCATTCTTTTAGAACCATGTCTGTCATAACCTTATGGACAAGGAAGACTTTTGGTTTCCTTTTGTTTAAACTTTGGTACATTAAATCATCGTTAGAGAGTTCAAGGTCTTCATCCTGGATTTCCAGCATGTCATAAATTTCCCCTAATAGGTCATCCATCTATTCCATTAAGACCTTGGATATTTTGCTGCTTTAGAGGCCTCACCCTGCCCCTCCCCTTGTTCCAAATTGGAGTTAAGAGGAATCTGGGTCCCCACCCACGGGGCTACAGAAGCTACTCCCTGCTGACTCTGCCAAGCCTGAGGCCACTGAGAGCAGAGAAGAAGGTACTTGTTCAGGCTGACTAGTTAAAGCTGTAGGGACGTTGACATCTGTAATGAGCTTTCGCACTGCTTGAAAAGGTGGATTGCACCTCTTTTCTGAGAGAACTTAAGAATTTTGCATAGGGTGAATTTGCTTCAGCCTTCAACAGGATTACGCTACACTGGCAGCACAGGGATTTGTTGTAACTAGAAGACAATCTAGTGCCACAATTAGTTTACATCCTCTTTGTGGGCTTGTCCTCAGCTGTCTCTTCCTCCTAGAAAAAAACACAGGCGGAAAGCCCTATTATAGCCAATACAGCGGAACCACCCCACACCCATCTGCAGCCAGTACATCCGTATATGCTGAAAAGACTTTGCAAAAGGATCTCCACCAATCTGCAGCATTCCTAAGAGCATCTCACCATATGTAAAAAGCTACACAGCTCTCAAGATAGCCCTGCTATCATATCTGTGTGCCACAGGCGCCTGCATCCCCCAGATGTTGGGAGAAGTCCTTCATACTGGCCCCTGCGTTCTCCGGCAACTAGTGTTCTGATGCCCATGCCGTCAGCAGAAATAAGCATCTGATCTAGCCCTCCCCTTCCTATAGCACCATTGGAGTGGAACCGGAAGTGTCTGGCATGCCTGGATGAGATCACATCCCCCGGTCACATGAAGTCTTGCGTCTTCCGGACTAGCCGTCCAGCCTCTCGCTACCGAAAAAGTACGAGTGCACACTCTACCAGCCACAAGATGCTGCACTGCCAAGGAGGCCCTCCAGCCTCATTTCCTTGCTGGGCAATGGAAAGAAGCACGAGCAGGTACACTCCGGGACGAAAAAAAAAAAAAAAAAAAAAAAAATTGTGATGGAAGCGTAGGCAGGACAGAACACAAAGAAGATGGGGAACACACAAAGCTTTATTGAACTATGAAAGACAATCAGGACAGTTCATGGCACTCCACTACATGCGGCTTGTAGGGACACCCACGGTAAAGCGGGCTCATGGGGTCTCGACGGGACCTTGGCTGTGGAGTCTGGCCTCAACATAGCATACTAGGGACAACATCAGGACTCGGGTGGCTGTGCGCACACTAGGGATGGTTCAGGCAGAACAGGGAAAGCATACACTCACAGATCCGACAGCGTGCGGTCTGTGGGCAGAGCTGGGTGTACTCACAGACATAGAGCTGGCATGGGGTCTCAGGCAGAGCTGGCGTGCAGTCTCCCCCTCGGCTGGGGTCTCAGCAGAGCTGGGTGGGGGTCTCAGGCAGAGCTGGCGTGCAGTCTCCCCCTCGGCTGGGGTCTCAGGCAGAGCTGGCGTGCAGTCTCCCCCTCGGCTGGGGTCTCAGGCAGAGCTGGCGTGCAGTCTCCCCCCTCGGCTGGGGTCTCAGGCAGAGCTGGCGTGCAGTCTCCCCCTCGGCTGGGGTCTCAGGCAGAGCTGGCGTGCAGTCTCCCCCTCGGCTGGGGTCTCAGGCAGAGCTGGCGTGCAGTCTCCCCCTCGGCTGGGGTCTCAGGCAGAGCTGGCGTGCAGTCTCCCCCTCGGCTGGGGTCTCAGGCAGAGCTGGCGTGCAGTCTCCCCCTCGGCTGGGGTCTCAGGCAGAGCTGGCGTGCAGTCTCCCCCTCGGCTGGGGTCTCAGGCAGAGCTGGCGTGCAGTCTCCCCCTCGGCTGGGGTCTCAGGCAGAGCTGGCGTGCAGTCTCCCCCCTCGGCTGGGGTCTCAGGCAGAGCTGGCGTGCAGTCTCCCCCTCGGCTGGGGTCTCAGGCAGAGCTGGCGTGCAGTCTCCCCCTCGGCTGGGGTCTCAGGCAGAGCTGGCGTGCAGTCTCCCCCTCGGCTGGGGTCTCAGGCAGAGCTGGCGTGCAGTCTCCCCCTCGGCTGGGGTCTCAGGCAGAGCTGGCGTGCAGTCTCCCCCTCGGCTGGGGTCTCAGGCAGAGCTGGCGTGCAGTCTCCCCCTCGGCTGGGGTCTCAGGCAGAGCTGGCGTGCAGTCTCCCCCTCGGCTGGGGTCTCAGGCAGAGCTGGCGTGCAGTCTCCCCCTCGGCTGGGGTCTCAGCAGAGCTGGCGTGCAGTCTCCCCCTCGGCTGGGGTCTCAGGCAGAGCTGGCGTGCAGTCTCCCCCTCGGCTGGGGTCTCAGGCAGAGCTGGCGTGCAGTCTCCCCCTCGGCTGGGGTCTCAGGCAGAGCTGGCGTGCAGTCTCCCCCTCGGCTGGGGTCTCAGGCAGAGCTGGCGTGCAGTCCCCCCTCGGCTGGGGTCTCAGGCAGAGCTGGCGTGCAGTCTCCCCCTCGGCTGGGGTCTCAGGCAGAGCTGGCGTGCAGTCTCCCCCTCGGCTGGGGTCTCAGGCAGAGCTGGCGTGCAGTCTCCCCCTCGGCTGGGGTCTCAGGCAGAGCTGGCGTGCAGTCTCCCCCTCGGCTGGGGTCTCAGGCAGAGCTGGCGTGCAGTCTCCCCCTCGGCTGGGGTCTCAGGCAGAGCTGGCGTGCAGTCTCCCCCTCGGCTGGGGTCTCAGGCAGAGCTGGCGTGCAGTCTCCCCCTCGGCTGGGGTCTCAGGCAGAGCTGGCGTGCAGTCTCCCCCTCGGCTGGGGTCTCAGGCAGAGCTGGCGTGCAGTCTCCCCCTCGGCTGGGGTCTCAGGCAGAGCTGGCGTGCAGTCTCCCCCTCGGCTGGGGTCTCAGGCAGAGCTGGCGTGCAGTCTCCCCCTCGGCTGGGGTCTCAGGCAGAGCTGGCGTGCAGTCTCCCCCTCGGCTGGGGTCTCAGGCAGAGCTGGCGTGCAGTCCTCCCCCTCGGCTGGGGTCTCAGGCAGAGCTGGCGTGCAGTCTCCCCCTCGGCTGGGGTCTCAGGCAGAGCTGGCGTGCAGTCTCCCCCTCGGCTGGGGTCTCAGGCAGAGCTGGCGTGCAGTCTCCCCCTCGGCTGGGGTCTCAGGCAGAGCTGGCGTGCAGTCTCCCCCTCGGCTGGGGTCTCAGGCAGAGCTGGCGTGCAGTCTCCCCCTCGGCTGGGGTCTGCAGAGTGCGCAGCGGGGATGGCTGCGGAGGCTCCCACCCTGGGGTAATTAGCGGGTAATAATCCTGACCTTTGTGGGTCTGCAGACCCACAAAAGGTCAGGACTATTACCCCCCAGAAATTCTGAGGACCCTCTGCACACTGGTATGACTATTAGCCCCCCCACGCCTCCCAGCGAGGTGATTCCAGCAGCGTGCACAGGGACAGAGACTGGCCTGGTCCCGCACCGGCCTTTTTAAAGCTGTGCGGGACACTTCCGGGTTGTCCCGGCAACGGCCAGCCCAGCAGCATGTTGGGGCAAGGAGGCACGCCCCTTCCGGAGTGCAGCCTTTGTCTCCAGCAGCTTTGCCTGAGGAGAGGTGCTAACCACACCACAGGGGGCGTTTCCTCCCATCCTGCACAGCCCTTTGATATCGGCTGGCAGGACGGAGGAATCTGCAAGGGGGGAGGGAGAGGTGGAGGGATACGGCAGAGGGACAGCAGGCAAAAGGGGTGTGGGGAAGGCACGGGCACTCCGTGACAAAGATAAATTTTTCAAGTAAGGAATCTACCCCAGGCAGCCCGAGACATGGCATCCCTCCTGCTAGGGAAAAAAAAAAAAAAGTTCCTACAAGCAACGTGCCTCCTCCGTCCAGAGGAAACACACAACTGGCCACGTTCCTGTAGAACCGCTTAAGAGCTGAGGGCGATGTGTTCCTTTGGCTACATCTCTCAGGGGCTGTCCTGGAAGATGACTGTGGGAAATAAAAGTCCAAGCCGTAAGTATGGACAACAGTTGCACCAATCACTACCCAGATGACACTGAATGTAGCTGGAGGTGGTGCGATGGATGTACCGAAAATGAGTTGTCAGCTGAACAAGTGCCCTGCATATTTGGGCATGATTGTATTGTTCACCACCTCTATATAATAAGTGCCTCAGCATTGATCCATTGATTTAAGTTCCCATAGTTGTATAAAGCGACAGAACTAGTAAAGGGTGAGCTGTTGTAGGAATCTGAATCTTTAATTTTAGGCTATTTTAACCTTTACCCTATTCTCTTGTGTTGTGTTCTCCACCTGTCAGAGAAGAAATGTCAACGCAGTCTCAGGATGTATGCGGACCTTCTAGGTCGATAAGTATCTCATTTAAAGCGATTCCTACTGCAAAAAACATTGTGATCCCCAACTCCATCTGAATATTTTTTTCTGGTATCTATCCATAGGTATTGATGTTTGTTGTACATTTAACTTGTCTCTCCTTCCTGTTCTAATGAAAATGTATAAGATGCTTGTAACAGTATGATTTTGTCTAGATAGAGGAACTGTGCGGAGATCTTGTGCCTGTACTACTGTCATGCCTTTATATGATGCTTTCATTCAAAAAGGTTGGACTGGCACCGTGGTGGACTGTGAGTCAGGCGGCATTGCATAAAGATTGCAAAAAAAAAAAAAAAGCAACCTGCCCGATGCCTGGAACTACATGTCCCAGGCATTGGGCGATACAAATTCAACATCACTGCCATATTTTCTTCCCAAGCACGTCACTGACCCAAAACTGGCAAGCAGCCAGTAAAGTGAGAATTTCTAAAATTCTGTAACCAACCAAATAAAATCTTATTCTTTATGACAAGCTTATATGGCATTTGATAGTAGGCATTCTTAAAAGTTGCATCAGAACCCCCCCCCCCCCCCCCAAAAAAAAAACCCCACATATATATGTATCATACCTGTTCCTGAAGGTCGTAGTCATAGCTGTCATGCAGCAGAAGACTTAAAACATATCTTGTGTAAATCATGGCATCAATACCACATTTCTCCAGCTCCTGTCCCAGCCAGGTCTGGACTGGGTCTAAAGCACGAAGCATCGACATTTCAAAGACAGAAACAGGGCCAGGAAACGAGCTTAAGGTGCCTTCAGATGGTAAACCATCCACAACTGTACAGATAGGGCGCATGAATCTAGGTGGTTGGCATTCCTAGTACATGAAGCATTTTTGGTAGGATGTTGTTTTAGAAGGTGGAAGGGATCTTCATTCTATGAATCTGGTGAAATGCTTCAATTCCAGGAAGATTAATAATCATTGCTGACATTTAGTCTTTTTATTCCTCAGGCATTACTGAAAAAAATACATCTTATTGGGGCACACATTGAGATGCGTTTTCCATATAATTTCACATTGACACAAGGATTACCTCTATGGCAGAACCTAAGGGGGAAAAAAAAAATTGCAAAGTTAGCAATTTCTCTAACAAATACATACAAAGACACATACAAATACCAAGACCCTTTAATTGGCAAAAAAAAATATTACAGGACCATTCTGTCACTATGTGAAATTACAGATTATAGCCTGTGTATATTACATTAGCACCCACAAGCCTCAATCATTCATCATGTCACATATAAAGTACAGCAACCACCTTCTAAATCCGACCCAAGCTGAAGTTGTGCACCACTGCTGCAAATCTCGCAACAGTGTCTGAAGGCGCTTATCTCACAAGATCTGACCTGCCATTCCATAATAAACCTGGCCATACACCTATAGATTTCTCCATCCATGCTAAAAAGCACAGAAGGACAAATTTACTACTGTGGCTATGCATCTGACTGGAAGCAGGCAATGTTCAGCAAACAACTTATCAATCAAAGGACGTCAGATGGAGTAGTGGCAACAGGGACATCCACTGATAGAATTTCAGGAACCAGCTAAAATCTGCACAATGTATGGCCAGCTGAAGTTCTCAGAGCATACAGCCTGCTTGTCTCTGCATCTGTTCACACAGCTTTTCACACCACACTCTGACAAACTGCCAGGTACACACACTCTGATCCCAATATGAAACCTTATAACATTTCTAAACTCAAGAACAAATATGTGGTATAGTGCAGCTTACCAGTCAGACATGGTAGTGAACTTCATGCTCCCTTTTTCACCCAATGATCTTGCCACTAACACTTCCTAACCTGGGGGTGACGATACTCGTTTATTACACTTTATCTATGGTGGAGCAGCCCTGCAATCCTAGGACAGTACTATAGAACACAAATCCATTTTCTTCTCCTCCATAAAATGCAAGTAAAAGATTAAGGTTTACATATACTTTAAAGTGGGTATAAAGGCTCAAAGCTTTTTACCTTCATGCACATGAAAGTTAAAAAAAACAAAAAACAACTGCGCAGCAGCCCCTCTGACCCGCTTAATACTTACCTTACCCTCTTCCCATTCCAGCGACGTGCTCAAGAGCAGCAGCTCTGCTGGGTCCCTCTCTCCTCATTGGCTATGTCAACAGAGAGCCATTGGCTTCCACTGCTGTCAATCACAGCCAGTGAGCTAATGAAGACAGAGCAGGGGTGGGGGTCGAACTGCAAACTGTGTGAATGGACAGAGCAAGGCTTGGGAGCAAGCACATACCAGTACCCCCATAGCAAGCAGCTTGGAGGGGCCAGAAGCAACAGAGGGACCAAAGAGGAGGAGGATTGGGGCTGCTCTATGCAAAACCATTGCACAAACCAGGTAAGTATAACATGTTTATTTTAAAAGGGAAAAAAAAAAAAAAAAAAATTGTGCTTGCAGGTTCTGCAGTCCTTTCTGCATTATTTTGTTTCCAAGCACTGTACCCTTGATACTGTAGGAAAAAAAAAAACTCACAAAATGCATATAAAAAGGTAAGCTAACATTCCAAAAACATGTATCCACTGCCTGAACCACCCAGATAAACTCAATATCCAGTCAACCCCTGCTGTGCCTTTTTCCCCAATGGCCCATGATCAGCAAACCCCCCATCCCAAGCAGCTTTATAGCATGAAGCACAGTGTGAGCTGCAAAAGTACAAGCAATGATCTAACAGGCTGCTCCCTAGACGTAGGGGCAAGATCCCAAATTAATAATTAGTGTTACAATTACATTTTTTGGGTTCTAAAAGAGATGCAACACATTTTCTATAAGAACATATTGACACTTGGATAAAAAAAAAAAAAAAAAAAAAAAAAAGGGTCTTGGGTACATAGTACAGCATTATTAATAAGGGATGGGAATAGAATTGTAGCTTTGACTCACTTTCACAAGCTCACTCACAAAAAGACAACCTAAGGCGAGATTACAAGTCATTATGCTTGTAAAAATAGCTAGCAGAGATAAGCTGCATATAGATCCCTTTGAAGTCCATTAAAATGTCTATATACAGAGGCAATAAGTTTACATCCCATTTATTAAGCACACCTTTAACACTATTTTTTAAACATGCAACCTACAAGAATGAATTAGACAACAACATTCACTGCTGCTCATGAGTGACCTCTAATCTGTGCCGCAGGACAAATCCATTTATAATCTAATTAAAAATTACAGAGCTAAAGAAAAGGACAGCTACTGAAGGTCTGACATGGCATGGCTCTGAAAAAAAGAAAAAAAAAAAAAAAAAATGAAAGTTAATAAAATACTAGATCTGAAATTTCCAGTGTGTGTTCTGCCTTACAAAATATGCCAATTATACCATTGGGGAAATGAATGAATGAATTGAAAGAAAAACAGTAGAATTGTTCGAATCTATTTTCAAAGAATGTTAATTAAATAATTTAAAAAGACATTAATTTCGGTGAAACCCCAGGTGCTTCAATTATTGGCTAATGCATCATTCAAATTCTGATTTGTTGCGGTTTGCAATCAGTGCTGCATGCTACCGCCGTCTTCTGGATAAGTATCATGGCAACCACTGAAACAAGGAAACAGCAGCTGGCAAATGAAGTCCTACAGCATCCAATGTACAAGGACCCTTGAAACAAATCTTGATCACATCTAATGACCTTTCCACAATTACAGACTTTATAAGTCGAATCTGAAATTTAAAAAAAAAAAAAGCTTGGGGTATTGCAAAGTACTGATTCCAATGACTTCCAGACAAAGAAAGCGCTTACTACTGCACTAATGGTGCAATCACTGAAAGGCAAACAGTTTATAGCAGTCATTCAGAAAAAAATAAAATAAAAAAAGAAGATAGTCTCTTTGTGCACTATTGTTAAAGTACATTTTTTGGGGGGGTTTTTCCCCACAAAAAAAAAAAAAAAAAAAAAACACACAACTAGAAACATTTTCCAGTCTTCGGCTCTAGATGTCTCACTGCTGACTGAGCATATTAATTCTTATCACAAAGTTTAAATCCACATAAAACACAAAATGAACTGACTACACTAGTCATACTGTTTATCCTGTTCAAAACAGAAGCTTTATCCTCCAAATCCCCAATGAGCTCATAAACAAGCTTATACAAGGCCAGTCCAGTGCGGTGACAATTCTACAACAGCCAGGTTACAGATCTGGGTGATCAGCCTTTAACTTATCAAAACAACATGGACTACAATAGCAGAACATTAAAAGGCTTCATTCCTAATAGGTCTATTGCTTCAGGTGACAGGGATATCACATCTAACCAGAAATATAAAGCAGAGTGCTGAAGGTACCTTACTTGAGCATCCCTTCTTCATTAGGCATAACATGAGGAGCACCAGAGGGTGATTCCTGAGCAGGCAGCCCCTTTCCTGCACCTCCTTCCCCACTCTACAGAAGCTCACCTCACCTCACATGAACTCAGCATGGCAGAAGAGAGAGAGGAAAAAAAACACAAGATGTCTGATCGCAATGCGGCCCCTCCTCCTATACACCAAGGAGGGGCGGGGGGAGCAGATTTCAAGCTAATGATGACCTGCAGTTGGGGGAGGGGAGATGCTCACAGATGACACTGGGAGAGGGAGGAGTGTCTTTCTATGATGTGATCAGGTCCTCGTTCACACTGTCAGATTGCATCAGCCCCTCGTACTCATGGGGGGAGGTGACATGATTATTGCATGTTACTGTACAGCAGTGCCTCCATCAGCCCCCTTCCTGCTAACTGGTCACAAAAAACATATTTACACGAAAAGTGAGGGCGGCTCCTTACTCCATTAACCTTCATACCAGCAGGTTCCCAGTCAAGAGGAGGGTCGGAGAGGGCAGTCATCAGGAGGGTTGGAGAGGGCAGTCATCAGTTCAAACGGTATACAACAAGGGGGGGGGGGGGGGGGGGGAGAGCAATGATGAGGGTATGGCCAGGTTGAGTCCATAAAGGTTTCATTTAATGCACAAAACAAAAAGCTGTAATATAAAATCAGTGCACCAGTTTGTTTTTTTTTTTATTTACCAGCCAAACCCATGAAAGCCAATTCCCAATTCCACCTCTCCTTGTCCCTTTAAATAAAACAATGAAGCTAGATAGGTGAGGACTAGTACAAAGGACTACAATGGAGTTAATGGGCAGATGACCTTGATTAGAAGTGACTGAAAATCTCACCCATTGTATTCAAATTGTATTTACTTATTTATCAAGAGAAAGCAGGTTTCACATGCAGTATTCAAGGTCTAATGAGCACTCCTGTGAAGTCCCAGAAGGTGCTGACAATGGTGAGTAACCTCTGACCACAGGGACATAAAAGCAATGTGTACACACAAAAGGATTACAAGACTAATAAATCAGCTAGTGTGCACATTATTAAATCTGGGCTTGTGTTAGTAGCAGTTGTTGATAAAGGCAGTGGAGGCTGATCCTATACAGCACAGTCTTCTCAGCAAGATGTCTGACAATCACATAGTGGTGCTACTAATGTGTATGTAGGGCAGGGGGTGTGCAGATGGAACATTAACATGCCAGAAAATCACATAATTCAAGAATTCTCTTAACAGAAACATGAACAATCATCATTGCACACATCCATTACAACTTGGATGCTCCACTGCCGCTTCATGGACAGGTAGATCAGCCATTCCAGAAGTCCATGGGGGTGTCTTTTGTGTTCAGGAATCCCTTAGGTTCCCTTTTTCATCAGAATACAGGACACAATTCGTCCCCTTTCACATGGGGCAAAGCCATCAGTGGGGGAACTGAGAAGAGGAGGATCAGAGCTGCTCTGTGCAAAACCATTACA